TAGTGTTCGAGCTGGTACGATGCAAACAACGGACTTCGAGGTGTCCGGGCGTGTGGCACAAGCGCTAATAAGCTGATTTTGAAATGTCTAGCTCACACATGGACGAGAAGCATCATTGTGAAGTGACAACTATCGTGTTTGGCTGTCAAAGCTTTTTTCCATCGGAACTTCTTCGGTTTTCCTTATCGGCATCCATATATGAGACGTAGCGCATGAAAATGGTAATTTCGGATTTTAAGGGTTGCCCATTTGCAGGATAAAATGGGCGGATTCCAGCTTCCTAGTTTTTCTGATACTTTAGTTGAAAGTCGGTGACAAAATGCGAACAGCCGAACATACACAAAACACATAAACACACACCTACACGCCGACAAGGTTTCACAATACACGTTTTTACATCTGCGCAAATATGCAAAACAGCGTCTAATTTTGAAGAGCTGATTTTAAGTTCATTGGGTAGCACAATTATAGGAAACATCTTCGCAAAATTTACAGCTTCCTAGCTTGCCGGTTCCCAAATTTATCACACAAGCATGAGAAGCATCCTTGTAGACTTCCAAGGTTCTATCTTGTCTGGTTCGCGAAATCGCTTGGAAAAAACGCTTTTGCAATTTCGGCTTTTGTGTGTCTGTATTAAAATGCAGGCGTACGTGAGGGTTGATTTTATGCTTATGTGGCTGTACATGGACCCAGAACACCTCCATAAATTTCAGCTTCATTGCTTCCGTGGTTGTTGAATTGAATGTGGAAGACAAAATCCGGACACAATGGACGGCCTCTCGATAGTGCGTGTTTTTACATTTCTTCACTGATGCAGAATGAGCGATAAAATTATGTGAAGCTATAAAATACCTTTGAAAGATCAGTCTGCACTATATAACTTTCATCTTGTAGGCCACTTCACCACTTAGAATTTCCAGCTTCTTAACCCATCCTTCCGCCATTTCCGCGATATTGGCCTTTTCTCAATCGGTACGTTAAGGGTGTGAATCCAAGCCACTAACTCACCCAGTCGCCTTGCAATTGGCAGTTACAAAAACTCGGCTCAGCTGACGATTGATGGTGTTTGGTCTTTCCAGCTCTTTGCCCTAACATCTCTGCCAACTGTATTTGGCGGCGCCGCTCGCTGGGACTTTGCCAGACGTGCTGGGTAGCGCTGCCCAGTGTTTGGTGGCTGGATCATGCCGAAAACGGGAGGTGATGGGTGAGGAAACTGGACGTGGTAAGGGAAGGGGAGGGGCGCGGAGAGGGCGAAGTGTTGGTTGGTAGTTGCCCAGATACAGCTAAGAGTGAGGGCGCGATCGGGGCGAGGATAGTCGGGGGGAATGAAGTTGCTGGTTAGGAGTTCAGGACGATAAACGGTGAGGTGGTTGGAGGTGGTGGTTGCCCCGATGCGACTTTGGAGGCAGGGACTGGGGAA